CTCTCTTCTCCCCTCGTCTCTCTTCTCCCCTCGGCTGCGTCGCCGTGGCGGCTCCCAGCCCCAGAGGGTCGCCCGTGAGGGGCGGGGGCCGCCAGCCACGCGCACGGACGTGCCCCCGAGTTCGCGAGGCCGCCCTGCGTGTCGCGTGCATCCCTCGGCAACGCAGCGGGCCAGGCGTGGGCCCAAAAGCCGCCCAAGAGGGCCGAAGATGCCTCCGAGAAGGCCCAAGAATGCCCAGGCGCCCAAGATGGCCTCAACACGGCGCAAGAGGCCCCGAAGACGTCACAAGGAGTATTCCAAGAGGCGTCCCATCAGGGTCCGAATAGGCAAATATCGCTGTTCTTGCTGCTAAGAATTTTGGCCTTCTCGTTTTTTTTTACAACTTATGCACAGTGGCGGGATAGGCCGAAGGCCACTAAATATCCGCTGCCCCCTGTTGGCTTTCCACAAGGGGTGCCTGGCGTGCTGGACCCTTTCGGTTTTGGTTTTGGTTATTGTTCAAAAAAACTCTCCCCTGGGTCGGGGATCTTCTGATCCAGGTCAGTCCAGACCCGGGTCAGTCGGGCCTTGCGGTATCCTGAAAGATCCTGCACCCAAACCCGGGTCAGTGCGACCCTGGCCCTGCAGGATCCTGCAGGATCGGGCGCTCTGGCTGACCCCCGTTTGCATTGACCCCCGTCTCAAGGCTCCCGACTGGGGCTCCGGCCCAGCCCGCCGGCCACCCGGAAGGGATCACAAGAGGTGGTTACAAAGGCCTTTCCTGCTCCAGATGGCTCCAAGATGGCCGCCAAGATGCCTCCAAGATGGCAAGTCCGCTCAAGAAGCCTCCAAGGCGGCCCAAGACTGCCCAAGAGATACCCAAGAGGCCTCCAAGACGGCCCAAGAAGCCTCCGAGAGGTCCTCCAGGAGGGCCCGAAGACTCCAAAATCATTGACTTTCCTTAGGTTTTTGAAGGATGTTCGATTTCGCTGCTTCTCTGCTTTCCGACGACTCAAGACGGCACACGAGGCCCCCAAGATCGCCCCCACAGCGCCCAAGAGGCCTCCAAGATGACACCATCATCGATTATCCTAAGGTTTCTATAGGACTTGAGAAGTTACCTCTTTTCGGCCTTCCGACGGCCCGAGACGGCCCAAAAATCCTCAAAGATCGCCCCAAGATCGCACAGGAGGCGTCCAAGATGGCCCTAGGACGGCCCAAGAGGCCCCCGAGACGGCCCCAAACCTCCAAGACGGCCCTGGAGCACCCCAAGAGGGCCGCAAGTCGGCCCAGAGAGGCCCCCAAAACGGCTTCCGACGGCGTCAGACGGGCCAGGAGCCCACCAAGACGGCCCAAGATGGCTCTAAGATGGCCCAAGACGGCCCAAAAGGCCTCCAGGAGGGCCTCCAAGAAGGCCCGACGAGGCCAACATCATCGATTATCCTAAGGTTTCTATAGGATTTGAACAGCTACTTCTTTTCGGCCTTCCGACGGCCCGAGACGGTCCAAAAGGCCTCCATGATCGCCCCCAGAGCGCCCAGGAGGCCTCCAAGATGGCCCCAGAACAGCCCAAGAGGCCCCCAAGACGGCCCCTAGGAGGGCCGAAGACGGCCCAAGAGGCCTCTAACACGCCGAAAGAAACCTCCAAGACGGCCCTGGAGCACCCCAAGAGCACCCCAAAGGCCCCCCAAGGCGGCTTCCGACGGCGTCAGACGGGGGGCACCTGGCGGCGCGCAGCCCTGGGAGGCGCCCCTGCTTCGCGCTCCGCCCCGCGTCGCCCCGGCGCGCCCCCCAGGACACTGCACAGGCCCTGCCCGTGCGGGTGCGGCCGCCTGGGCACAGAGCGCGCGCTGCGCGATGCGGCCCGCCTCTGGCGCGACAGCTGCCTCCAGCCTTGTCGTCCGCCAGCGATGAAGGGGCCCTGGGACACACAAATAAGTACACACAAAGAAACAGATTCCCCATATTTTCCCATATTTTCTGGGTTTTTGTCTTCCCCCCACTTCCCATACTTTCACATCTTTTCTGGGGAATCGGGGATTCATTGTCTGCGTGTTTTTCCTCTCCTGAAGCGAGAGCGGCTGGGCACTCGCTGCGTCAAACTTGCCCGCCTTGAGAGCCCCATCCTGGAGGCGCTGCGCAGGCGGCCCAGCTGTGGCACCCGCACCAGGGATGCCCCCGCAGACGGCAGGGCCCGGTGGCGACGGCGGCGCACGGGCAGACACCGTGGCCGCAGTCGCCGCCCTGTAGGGCGACGAAATCTATGCATATCCACTGCTCCTGGCCAGGCCAATCCTGGGCCCAGGAGCGGTGTATACGCCCTCCTAGCCGCCTCCGGCGCCTCCCGGCGCCGGAGGCGGCTAGGTAACGAGGAACGGGCCCCTCGGTGGGGCCGAAACTAGCTGCATGCAGCAGATTTCGTAACCCCCCCTTTCCCAATCCCCCCCTTTCGTTCGGCCCGAGTGATGCGCGCCCCTGCAGACAGACGACGGTGCTCCCGCAAAGGGGGCCGCGGCAGGGGAGACGAGACATGGAGCGCTCGGCTTCCCTGGCCCCGACCACGCCTGTGCTGCCTGTCGTGCCGCCCACCCCAGTGCCCTCCCTGGTTCGGCGGTGGACAAGCCTCCCTTCAGTAAACCTCCCTTTGGTGAAAACGGCCTGGGACCGAAACCGACGGACCTGGACCCGCAAAAGGGACGGCCGCGACGCCCCCTCGCGAACCGAAAACGGCCAACTCCTCAGTCGACGTGTCAGGGTAGGAGGTCTTTCCACCTCCGATCTTGGGCCGTCTTGGGGCGATGATTGGGGCCTCGTGGGCCGTCTTGGAGCGTTGGGAAACCGAACAGATGAGAACGCCAAGATCCTTCAAAAACCAAAGGGGCATCCATGGCTTTTGCCTCCTGGAGCCCTCTCGAGACGCTTCTTCGAGGCTCCTTTGGGCGTCTCTCGGGCGTCTTGGACCGACCGGTCGGTGGCGCTCCCGGCGGCACCCCGCGCGCACCTCCGGGGCGCAGGCGCGGCGCTCTGCGCTCCCCGCGCCTCCCCCTCGGGGGCGCCCGTGGTGACCGACGCGGGCGGCCCGACCCGCGCAGCGCGCGGGCGCGCCGGGGGGCCCCCAGGACCGAGGGGCCCCAAGGACACACGCAAAGAAATGCACACGAATCAGAGGATTCACCCTATTTTCCCATATCACTTGGGATTTTGTTTGTGTCTTCCCCCCCCCACCACTTCCCATAGTTCCCCATCTGCTCTGGGGAATCGACGATTCACTGTGTCTGTATGTTTTTCCCCTCCTGACAGGAGGCATCTAACCTCTAACGTTGGCCACCGGATAGTCCGCCGGACAGGCTGGTCCGCGGGCAAGGTGCACCGCCCATGGACGCCTAGTGACCCGCGCCAACCTGGAGGCGGACGAACGCGGAGGCTGGCGGTGCGGCTCACCTGCCCCGGGTGCGCCTGGTATTCGCCTGCCCGCTCCTCTCGCTTCGTCCCTGGGCCTGGCGCATGTTGGTGGGGTGGTTGCTTACCCCGCGTCCTTTCACACCGCTGATTGGGCTTGCTCCCCTGGCTTCGATGTCTCTCCTGTGCTGTGTGTTCTGGCCACTTGGGGGTTGGCCTAATCCTGGGCATGGATCAGGTGACCACTGCACGCTTCACGTCCGTCTCTCCACACCGATGCTTCGGTTGTTGCCGCCCTGGTAGCCCTGTTGTTGATCGCCCCTCCCCTGGCCACGTGCTGGGAGCCCGATCCCTTGGACAGTGCTCTCACCGCGGCGGGCGCCCTCTGGTGCCCTCGACCCTCTCTGCCTGCCCGTCGCCGCCCTCCTCCCCCCCCCCCTCGCCCCCCAGGCCGCTCTGTCGTGCCCGCCGCCAGCTCCTGTCGGCCCCCGAAGCCCCCCCGCTGCCTCCTGCACCGTGGCCGCGTGGCTTCGCCCTGCCGTGCTGCAGCTCGTGGAGCTCTGCGACCTGATCGTTGACGACCCCTCCCAGCCCTGGTCGTCTACCTCCTACCGCGCTCAGTTTGTGCCGTGGTACCTCCAGGGAATTGGTCTTGCACGGCCATCGTGCCTGTTTCGTAGCACCAGATTCTGCTGAGCCTGGTCGTCGTTGCCTGGTGCCTTGGCGACTCCGACTCTTCGTCCCAGGCTCTGGTCTTCACCTGGTCTTTTCATGACGTCGTGTGCGGAGGCTTTACCTGCATGTGCTCCCACCCTTCGTTGCCTGGCCGCTCCCGCAGGACTCCGACCTCTCGCTGCACTCGCATGCCACCGGCAGCAACACACGTGCTGCGCGCTCTGAATGGTCTCCCCCCCCCTCCCGGGCCTCCCCGCCCGCACGCTCTCTCGGCCTGGCGCTCGCCTCCCGTGTCCCCACCAGTTTGCGACCGCGCCCCAGTGCGCTCGGACCGCCTCTTGGAGTCGAGTCGCCGCCGGCCACAGAAGTCTCGCTCCTGTGCTGAGGGGGGGAGTTTTGCCCCTCGGATGAGGTGGCATGACGATGAGCTGCTCAAGCCGAATCGACGGAGGAGGGGCCTAGAACTCCGATGTCGTGATCTTTCTACAAAACGTGGGCTCCAGAAATCTGGACCCCTTCCCTGGGACCTGGCTTCACATCCCGAGACGTCTTCTGACGGACTTCGGGCCCGGCGAAGGCCGCCTGGGGCCGAAAACGGCAAAAAGCCTCCCGCATTGTTTTTTCGCAACGAGAGGGGGTGAGAGGAGGAGGTAAGGGAGAAATGTCACAGGGCGATCGACGGGGAGGAGGCACCAAGCTTGAATCGGCGATACATCGCCGACAGATCGGCGATCGGACCCCGATGGCAAAACCGCGCGTTCCTGGGCGGGTGGGCCATATCAGGCCCCTAGCGGCCAGCAGTAGGCGATTGGGTGTCGCGTGGGCCTGTCTCCCACTAGCGTTACCCATGAGGAGGTGGTGGAAGGGGGGGAGGGAGCTCCTCCTCCTCCTCCTCCGCCTCCTCCTCCTCCTCCTCCTCCTCCTCCCTGCTCCTCCTCCCTGCTCTCCTGCGACGCCGACGGGCCCATGCGCCCCTCGAGCTTCAGCCGCGCCCCCCGCAGGTGCATCGCGTCCTGCTGCTCCTGCGCAGCGCCCCGGGGGAGAGGGAGAATCGCAACTCGAGCACAACACGATCGGGGACGCGCAAACTGTCCCCGGGGACGAGCAAACATGATCGGGGATCCTCCTGGACTGTCCACGGGGAAGTGGTCGAGGCCCGTGCGGCGCGGGCTGAAGACATCATATCGTCGGGTGCCTGGGACGGCGCCGACCCAAAGCCCTCCTCACCTGATGTCTCGGGGGCGCGCAAACATGGATTAGCGATCCATGGACTTGGCGCACGGTCGCCAAATTCATGGATCCGGGGAGGTGCCCTCCCCGAAATGCGTCCAAAGCCGCCTCGCTCGGCAGCGGAAGTCCGCGATCAGCCATGGAAGCGGGACCCGTCGCTAATCCACGCCCCCTTAATCCATGTTTGCGATCGCCTGCCATGAATGCCCCGCCGGTCAAACCACTACATCAGCGAGTCAGGTGGAGAAGGCATACTGGGTTTTCTAGCGCGCCTGACATCACTTCATGCCCCGAGCCCCACGATGTGGCGGGCCATCGCGCAGCCCCCCTGGAGAAGAGCAGCCGCTCTGGCCAAGACCGCGACGCGCGAAGCGCGATCATCTTTGCCCCCCCCACCCCTCGCGGGTGGCCTAGGTTTGATAAAGCGGACTAGCAGCTCGCGCAGTTCGAATGACGACGCGCATGTGACACTGATGCTCAGCATCCCTCCCCAGTCACCGTGCTCGGTTAGGGCCGTCCTGGGTCCTGGCCAGGCACGGTGTATGCGCCCTCCTGGCCGAAGCCAAGGGTGGTCTATGCACCAACGTGGGGCCCAGGATGGTCCTGGCCAGGCACGATGGTGGCGTATGCCTACCAGGGAAGATATGACAATGAGCAACAGGAGTTTTCCCGGGGGATGGAACGAGGATGGCGGGTGGAACCCGGAAGATCAGAGGGATGAGGGGGAGGAGGATGTCTGGCATCTGCGGCCGTAGACCACCATTTGTATAGGGCAAACAAAAAGCTCGAACGAGACCCCGTCCCTCGGAGACCTTGTCCAAGCCTTCTCCAGTTCTCGCCTTTGTGAGTGTGAGCGAGCTGCTGGCGCACCCAACTTCGCGAGACGCTCTCCGGACGTGAACGCCACGTAGCGCCTGCAGATGCACCTAAACGCGTCGCCGCTGCGGTCCAGCACGGTGCAATTGTGTCCGAGGTCCCTTCAAAGCCTGCGGGCGGACTCTGAACTGCCTGGTGCACCTCCCTTCTCGGCGGCGTTGCGGATGAACGGGGACTTCGCAGACCATTCGAGCACTGCCAACAAAGAGCTGGGCGGGCTGCCTGCCAGGGGTTCACTCGAGCGGATCTGGTGGCGGGCCTCCCCCCTCTCGAGCCTTCTTCACGAGCCGGACTCCTCCCAGGTTCGTGCGTGGCCAGAACGGCACAATCTTGGCCGAGAGCTTGACGACAGCTCTCGATACCGCCATCATATGGTCAGTGTGGCGGTGCTCCTCCTCTGACGCTTCTGGTTGTAGTGCGACTCCGAGCTTAGCCGCCCTGTCAGTTAAATCGTTTCCTAACCTGCGGTGCAACTCTTCTGCATCCAACGAAACATCCAACTCCAAAGGGGCAACAACTTTGCCCGCCCCCGAGACCAATCCGTTGGACAAGGCGTCAGCCTGGAGAAGCAGCATGCACTTATGCGAATATCGTTCAGGCCTGGCCAAGTTCCTCAGCTTCACAACATTCCCACACAGCCTGAGAGGATGAGTGGGCAGCCGTAACAGCAGAAACCGAATTCGGCTCCCTGACTAGTCTGAGGATAGGTTGGCGGCAGCGGGACAGATAAAAGAGCACGAAGTTGGCCATCTGGCGTCACCGTGACCAAGCCCGCCCCAGTGCCCTTGATGGGAGATCTCCTACACGAGCCATCCAGGAACACGTCCCCCGTCAGAGGCGTTCTCCTCAACTTGAAAATTCTGTGATATCTTGCGCTGCGAGGGCATCGTCCTGTCCCAAAGGTCTGGGCCACCAGCCGCCAAGATACGGAAACAAGCCTGTCCCACGATTGGAAAACTCCAAATCCGTGTGGTCATCTCTTCTGGCATGTTCCAAGATTTCCCGAGCGATCAGATCCTTCCATTTCTCCGCACAAGCACGAGACACTCACAGACAGCGGTGTTCATCATATCCCCTGGATGCCCGCAGAAAGGACATATGCCATCGACCTGGTAGCCAACCTCCTCCGCTCGAGACAACGGCCATACCCCACGACAAACCACAACGTGCATGCAGCCCGTGCCCAGGGCGACTTACTTCTTGGAGTCCAAAGCCTGCAGGGTGGCATCGAAGCCACGCCACGGACCCGACGCATACTTGCCCCCCGCTTCTCTCTCGAGCAGCGCCTACGCGCCGAGGCCCGAGGGATATTCTTGAGAAGGGCAGGAGGGGCGAGGGTGAGGGGGAATGATGAGGAGGAGGGGGAGGAGGAGAGGAGGGGCTTGGCCAGTCATTTTCCCCTTCGTCCCTCTCCTCCTTTCCCGCTCCGCCACCTCTCCCCTTGCCCCTTGTCCCCCCCTCGACTGGGCCAGCCCTGTGCATTGCCTCTCCTGTTGTGGTGTGTCGGCTGTCCCGTGGATGATCAGGCACACTCAAGGTCGCCGAGGTCGCTGAGAGGATGAGGAGGGGACATGGGAGGGGGTTGATGATGAGGAGTAGGTGGAAGGGTCGGTGGAGGGGGAGGACGGATGAGGACAAGGAGGTTCAGGCGGATACGAGGGGTGGGATGAGGATGAGGGAGGGGTGTTGGATTTGACCCGTCGAAAGAAGCAGTGTGAACAGCCTGGCAAGGGGGGCGCGCTCTTCGTGCAAGATTCAGCGCGAGAGGACGAGAACAAAGGATACAGAGAAGAAAGACGAAGAGGTTGAGGAGGTCGAGGAGGATGACAGAGGAGGAGGTGGAAAAGAAAAAGGCAGGAGGATAGAAGGTGAGCAGGAGGAGGAGGAATGATAATGAGGAGAAGGATGATGAAAGAGCACGTAGGAGCATGGAGGAGGAGGAGGAGGAGGAAGAGGAAGAGGAGGAGGAGGAGCATGGAGGAGGAGGAGGAGGAGGAGGAGGAGGAGGAGGAGGAGGAGGGTGAGGACAAGGACATGGACATGCGCATAAAGGGGGTAACGTCAGAGCACCTACACGGGTGATCTACGCGCTGTTGCCAAGATCCCCTGCGATTAGTCGTGTTACAGCCCTGCCAGGAGAGGGAGGAGGAGGAGGAGGAGGAGGAGGAGGAGGAGGAGGAGGAGGAGGAGGAGGAGGAGGGGGAGGAGAAGGGGGAGGAGGAGGAGGAGGAGGAGGAGGAGGAGGAGGAGGAGGAGGAGGAGGAGGAGGAGGAGGAGGGTGATCATGTACCATCAGCGACAAGGAGAACACCATCACAGACCACGTTCGGCCGCCGCGGTACATGGCGCCGCCCGCCGCTGTCGCTCACGGGAGCCCTACACCGACGGCTACGTCGATCAGAACGTCGCCAAGAGACACTGCGACACACGACACGTGTGCGGCAACACCTACAGCGCCGGTTTTACTACATGCTCCGCGTGCGGATCATGTATTTAAAATGCAGGGATTTGGTATTAAAAACAACGATGAGTTCATGCACACATTTATTCATACACTAATCATGTATTAAAAACCCTGTTTTATATATAAAAAAATGTATTAAAAACTGCCCTGTACACCACCTGCTATCCGACTGCCACCGCAGCAGCTTAGGCCGCCACCGCCTACGCGCGCTGACGTTCAGGCCGAGACCGAGGCCCGCGTCACTCCGGCGAGCGCAACCCCGGCGACAACCGGGCAGGCGCGAGCCAGACTAACCATCCGTCACCGGATGCGATAGAAGAAAGATACTTCCCCGTCGCGCCGAAGGCGCAGACCCAAGGCGCCCGATCGAGTACGAAGCGTACGTCGCCAGCATCACCGACACCATCGTGGACCTCCACCTCACCATGGAAACGGAGGACTTGGACGATTACCGCAGGGTCGATCACAACGTCATCTACCGCACCCTCTACCACGAAAAGACTGCGGGCCGTCGCACCAACCAGGCGGAGACACACAGCAGTCCTGCTGCGGACAAGGGGCCCAACGGCAACAATCATGACCACCCCACTAGCCTACCAATCCGACTACTCGCCAACTGTGCCTCCACAATCTGCTGTCCCTCCAAGGATGGACGGACACGAGGCGCTGGGAGCAACCGCGCACGCGGCAACGACCTCCGCTAAGGGCCTGGCAACTTCCGATCCCCCTACCCAGTGCTGAACGCAGGACCCGCGGCACGGGTCACCCTGACTTCAAGGAGCACCAGCACCAACGCCGCCCTCTCCCAGCGTCAGACTTACCAGCCTGGAACATATACCTATCCCTATGCTGGGCATCGCCTCACCACGATGCCAATCTCAGGGATTCCTGTAGGTTTTGCGGGCGCATCCCTGAGATTGTCGTCGCCATTTGGCGTGTCAATCTTGGGGATAGGGATAAGTGCGAGGCTGGTGACAGACCTCAGGCTGCAGCCGCCCTCCCGGGGCGCAGCCCTCCCACGCCTCCACCAGTCTTGCTCCCGCGGGCGCCTCTCTACCTTCAGCCGGCTACACCGGACTCACTTCTATAGCGCTCACTTCTATAGTGCTCACTTTGAAATTGTGGTCCGGAAGGGGCCGCACATGCAGGCACATGCCGCACAGTCGCATGCACATGCCCATGCAAATATACAAAAGCCTCAACAGCATTGCCGCACATGCGCGCACATGCCACACCGTCCGACGCACAGTCGAATGCACGGTCAAGCAAAACTCTGAAAGCATAGACGCACATGCCCGCACATGCCGCAGAGATGTCGCAGGCGATAGTGGCCTGACCACCTGAGCTCGGGGCATTTCGCAACCCAGAGTTCCGAGGATGTCTCAGGCAAGCGTGGCCGGATCACCATGGGGCAGGGCATCTTGGAAACCAGAGTGGCGAGGATGTCGCTGGTCAAGGTGACCAGACGACCATGGGGCAGGACACCTCCGAGGTCTGAGTTGTGAGGATGTCTCAAGCGAAAGTGGCCTGACCACCATGGGGCAAGAGATCTCTGAGGTCAGAGTTGCGAGGATGTCTCTGGGGAGAGTGGTCTGACCACCTCAGCCCAGGGCATCTCGGAGCCCAGAGTTGCGAGGATGTCTCAGGCAGGACTGGCCTGACCACCTGCTCAGGGCATCTCAGAACCCAGAGTTGCGAGGGTCTCAGGCGAAAAAGGCCGAGACACTATGGAGCAGGGCATCATTGAGGTCAGAGTTGCGAGGATGTCTCAGGCAAAAGTGGCCTGAACAGCTCAACTCAGGGCATCTCGGGCGAGGATGTCTAAAGCGAAAGTGGTCTAACCACCTCAGCTCAGGGCGTCTCGGAACCCAGAGTTCCGAGGATGTCTCAGGCGAAAGGGGCCGAGACACTATCGAGCAGGGCATCATTGAGATCAGGGTTGCGAGGATGTCTCAGGCGACAGTGGCTGACCACCTCAGCTCGGGGCATATCGGAATCGAGACTTGCGAGGATGTCTCAGGCGACCGTGGCCTGACCAGCATGGGGCAGGAGATCTCTGAGGTCAGAGTTGCGAGGATGTCTCAGGCGAAAGTGGTCTAACCACCTCAGCTCAGGGCGTCTCGAAACCCAGAGTCCCGAGGATGTCTCAAGCGAAAGTGGCCGGGCCACCATAGGGCAGGGCATCTCAGAACCCAGAGTTGCGAGGGTCTCAGGCGAAAAAGGCCGAGACACTATGGAGCAGGGCATCATTGAGGTCAGAGTTGCGAGGATGTCTCAGGCAAAAGTGGCCTGAACAGCTCAACTCAGGGCATCTCGGGCGAGGATGTCTAAAGCGAAAGTGGTCTAACCACCTCAACTCAGGGCGTCTCGGAACCCAGAGTTCCGAGGATGTCTCAGGCGAAAGGGGCCGAGACACTATCGAGCAGGGCATCATTGAGATCAGGGTTGCGAGGATGTCTCAGGCGACAGTGGCTGACCACCTCAGCTCGGGGCATATCGGAATCGAGACTTGCGAGGATGTCTCAGGCGACCGTGGCCTGACCAGCATGGGGCAGGAGATCTCTGAGGTCAGAGTTGCGAGGATGTCTCAGGCGAAAGTGGTCTAACCACCTCAGCTCAGGGCGTCTCGAAACCCAGAGTCCCGAGGATGTCTCAAGCGAAAGTGGCCGGGCCACCATGGGGCAGGGCATCTCCGAGACCAGAGTTGCGAGGATGTCTCAGGCGAAGGTGGCCAGATCACTTCATGTCAAAGCACGTCGGCCTCCAAATTGCCGACGACGTCTCACGCGGAACTGGCCGGACGCGAACGCGCCGGCGTCCGGAGACGAACGCCGGCCCCGGCATTCTTGCACGTCCCGCACATGCACTGCACAGGTACGCACAGTATTCGCACAGGCCGAGCTCGCCGGTGGCCGAGCCAGGCCAGCGATTCCGAGATTCCCTGAGCTCGGGCCGTCAAGCCACTTTCGCCTGAGACAGCCTCGCAACTCTCACCTCCTCCTCCTCCTCCTCCTCCTCCTCCTCCTCCTCCTCCTCCTCCTCCTCCTCCTCCTCCTCCTTCTCCTCTGGCCGAGCCGAACAGGCAGGCTGGCCAGTGGCCGGGGGCGCCCGCCTCCTCCGCCCCCCTCCTCCCCCCCCCCCTCCACCCCCCCCCCCATCCCTGCTTCTCCGGCCGAGCTGAGAAGGCGCGCGGGGGAGTATTTTATTAGGCGGGCGCGCCACCGCCAGCTCACGAACCGGGCGAATAACCGCCCCCGCCAGCAGCGGGCGAGTCTAAACGCACAACAAACTCTTTCAGGAAGCCCTGGCACGCCCCAGGTTAGCTCTGCGAAGGCCAGGAGGCATTGGAGGCACAGGGGTCCCAGACAGCTCCTTGGGCATGAGCGTGCATGTGCATTGGGATGTGCACGCATGTGCGCCCGCGCGCTTCACTGCATGTGCGTGCATGTGCGGGCCCGCGCGGCCTCCCGAAGAGAGGTTGCACAGGCATGTGCGTGCATGTGCCGATGACAGATCTGTGATTCTCGAACACCTCCCGCATGTGCAGGCATGTGCGCGCATGTGCGTCGGACTGTGCGTGCATGTGCGTATGATGGATACATCAAAACACAGCGCACATGCCCCCGCACATGCCCGGGCACGACGTGCACAGTAGGAAGTCCATCCAAGAAGGACCGCACAGGCCTGGCACATGACTGGCACATGCCGCGCACATGACAGCGCAAAAACGGCCGCACATACACCCACCCAGGGGTATAGATGTGAGTGCGGTGTACCGCTTGGCCCACCAGTTCTCTTGCTACTCTGCCTCACCCAACCTGCGCACTCGCTGCCCACGGCACCGCCCACGGCAGCAGCAGCACCAGCACCACCCCTGCGACCGAGCAGGGCAGCCCCCCTCGCCCATCACCGCGGCAACCCCCGCGGCGGCCTGCGACTGCAGCCTCCGAAGGCTCCCGCGCCCTCTCCGCCCCGAAGGGACTCCCAAGGACCGAACACGTACGGCAGGCTCGTGCCATGACGTCCCGACGTTGCTTGCTGACGTTCTCGGGTCGGGCGAAAGGGGGGGAAAGCAAAGGGGGGGGGTGAGAATCAGCTCACGATTTTCCCAGCGCCTCCCGGCGCCGGAGGCGGCTATGTATCGAGGAATGGGCCCCTCGGCGAGGCCGAAACCAGCTGCATGCACCAAATTTCGTAACCCCCCCTTTCCCAATCCCCCCCTTTCGCCCGGCCCGACGTTCGATTGTGAACGATCTGGAACGATCGGCCGTTTCCGAAACGTCGGATCGCTCAACATCGACCTCGAACGCCCACGCCAGGGTCGCCGCCGATCGACACGACGCGCACGTGCAGTAATGAAGGGGCCCTGGGACACACAAACAAACAAACAAACAAACAAACAAACAAACAAACAAACAAATACACACAAATCAGAAAGGATTCCCCATATTTACCCATATCTTTTCTGGGTTTCTGGCTTCCCCCCCACTCCCCATATCTTCCCACATTTTCTGGGAATCGACGATTCCTTCTGTCTGCGTGTTTTTCCCCCTCCTGAAGTAGGTGCGGCCTGGCCACCTGGTGGGCAGGGGGCCCCAGGGCCCCCGCGGGGCGGGTGTGGGCATGGACACCATGCGCTGCGCTCCCCTCCGCGCCTGCCTCCTCCTCTTGCACACCCACGCCCCAGGGGGCCGACCGCGGCAGCCCCGCCGCCACCCTTCCCCTCACCTCTCCTCCGGGGGCACGAGGCAGCTTCGGGAGCTGGCGGGCCCCATGCCCCCCCCCCCCTCCCCCATCCGACCCCCTCGGCAGACCACGCCTTTGGGGGCCCCGGAAACGGCAGGGCCGTTTTTTCACCGTTTCCAAAAAAAACGTCCCTTGAAAATGGAAACGGCAACAAAAGGCGACCGGAAACGGCAAAAAAAACGGCTGCAGGATTGGAACCGGAGCCAGAACCGGTCAAAAAACGGCGACGGAACCGGTAAAATAACGGCGTCAGAACCGGCAAAAAAACGGCAAAACGGAACCAGAAAAAAAAACGGCCCTGTCGTTTCCAGGGCCCACTAAGGACCACGTCACTTGCACCCCCGGCCTGCTCGCCCCCGCCTCCTCCCCGCCTGGGTGGCCCACCCTGGGGGGGGTCGGTGCACCGGCGGCCGCCATCTGCGCGCCCCTCCCGTCCGCTCCCTCGCCCGTTACGGCCCCTCGGCTCCGCCTCCCTTCGCGGTCCCCCTTCGTGTCGTCTTCTTTGAAGGGGCCCTGGGACACACAAATAAACACACATAAATAAAAAGATCCCCCATATTTCCCCATATTTTCTGGGTTTCTGTCTTCCCCCCCACTGCCCATATTTTCCTATATTTTCTGGGAATCGACGATTAATTGTGTCTGTATGTTTTTTCGCCTCCTGATTCTTCCCGTCCCGCCCGCCGGCCGGCCCCACGAGCGGCCGTCTGGGCCGCTTCCCCTGGGGGCCCCCTCCCGCGCGCCTCGACGGTGCGCGGGGGGACGGGGGCGAGAGACCAGAGGCCGTCAGCCTCGAGCTTCGAGGGCGATCACGGGCAGGTTGGAAAGGGGAAAGGGAACTCCTTCGAGCTTCGAGGGCGATCAAGGGCAGGCTGGAAAGGGGGGAAAGGGAACTCCTTCGAGCTTCGAGGGCGATCAGGGGCAGGCTGGGGAAGGGAGGAAAGTTGAACTCCCTCGAGCTTCGAGGGCGATCAGGGGCAGGCTGGGGAAGGGGGGAAAGCGGGAGCTCCGCGCCCCGCCGCTCCTGAGAGTATCGTTTCGCCGATCCCCCTCCCCGGCGGCGTGGCCTGGGCCCCGCTGGCAGATTCACCCCCCTAGAAAAGGGGATGTAGGTCCCGAGCGGAGTGAACCCCGCCCTCCCCCTCAGAAGTGGTGGGGGGTAGGGGTGGGCTTCGCGTGCGGCCCCCTATCATTGGAAGGGGGGCACCCCCCGGGAGGCAGCCCCCGCACGCGGAGGGGAAGAGGAGCCACGGTCAAGACCTTCGGCGGCTCCGGCGAGGCCGTTCCCTTCGGGCCTCGAGGGGTGCACCCCCAACTGGGGTGGTGATTTGGTGGGGGCCTCGACGCAGATGGGGGATGGGGATGGGATTCGGTTGGTGGGGGCCCAAAGAATGTACACCACCACCACGTCGATTCCTCCTCCCTCCTCTTGCGAGAGTCGGGTCGGGCGAAAGGGGAGGATAGCAAAGGGGGGGGTTGAGAATCAGCTCACGCAGCTGATTTTCCCGGCGCCTCCCGGCGCCGGAGGCGCCCATGTATCGAGGAATGGGCCCCTCGGTGGGGCCGAAACCAGCTGCATGCAGCAGACTTCGTAACCCCCCCTTTCCCAATCCCCCCCCTGTCGTCCGGCCCGAGAAGAGGGCGGGGGGGAGGGCGGCGGTGGTCGTGCCTATTTCTGGGCCCCCCGAAACGCTGCTGAGCTCCTGCACCATGTCCGAGAACAACGCCGCGGGGCGCCCGGGCCTCTCCCGGGCGCCGCAGGTGCCGCTGCCGGCCCGGCCTGCCCGCGCGGGCCGCCCTCTCTCCCTCTGCGCTGAAGTCGGGCCTGTCCCCCTACAGGGGGATTTTCGACGAAAAATACAACATACCCCAACAATGAGATAACAAATAATCATCCAAAAACAGTCTGGGGACTATTGTTTGAGTATCTGTTTGACCTTTTTGGGGTATTCTTTATTTGTCGTCGACTATACCCCTGTAGGGGGGCACGCCCGACATAACTCTGCGCGCGCCGCCGCCGCCGTCGCGGGGGCGGAGAACCCCGCTCGAGAGACGAAGCACAAAAAAAACTTGGTCTTCTGGGATGGAGGAAAGAAAATGCACTGTGCACATGCACCGATGCTGGCCAGGCCCATCCTGAGCCCAGGATCGGTGCATACGCCCTCCTGCCCTGGCCAGGAAGGCATACGCACCGATCCTGGGGCTCGGGATGGTCCTGGCCAGAGTCGGTGCATGTGCATGGTTCTCTTTCCTCTTGTTGGAGGCCTGGAAATGGGCACCAACACCAACACGGGGGGGTCGCCTCCACAAGGGGGAAGATGATCCCAGACTTCGGTGTGGGCGGTAACAGTTCGGCCCCCTTGGAGGCCAGAATATCACCACCGTCGCCGAGATCGGGATCCTCCTCCCTCAGTGGAGGCACACCGCCGAAATTGGTGCTGGTGTCAACCTTTGGGCCTGCGACCTTCAGCGCGAGGACATGTGGAGACCCTACGCGGTGGCGTGCGCGGGCCGCCGGCGCGGCACACCCCCGAGGGCGCTCACGCGCGGCCCTGCGCGGGAGGCTCGCGCGCGGATGCCAGCGCGAGCGGCCCCCTCGTCCCTCCGTCGCCCGCTTGGCTTGATGAGGGGGGTCGAAGGCCCAAACTTCCCGACGACCTGTTTTTTGTCAGGCCGGGCGCGGCAGCTTTTTCCCTGGGCGCTCTCGCCCAGTTTCGGGCCCCAGAAGCATCACAGATCGGCCCGGCTCGAAACATGCAGCAGAAAGATGGGGTCTGGAGCCCGAATACATTGAGGTTTCGCGATGATGCAGTTTTGCTCGCACCGTCGGATCTTACGGAATGCCCAAATCTCCGACGGTGTTTTTTCAATCCGGGTGTTCTTCTTGATGCTTTTTCAATCCAGACCTAATATTGATGTTTATCGATGTTGTAGTTTTGCTCGCACCGTCGGATCTTACGGAATGCCCAGAGCTCCGACAGTGTTCTCTCAATCCGGGTGTTCTTCTCGACTGTCGGCCTCTAAGGGGCCGATGAGACGCCTGGCTCTTGGAAGCGAATCCCTTACGGATATTGATGTTTCGCGATGTTGCAGTTTTGCTCGCACCGTCGGATCTTACGGAATGCCCAGAGCTCCGACGGCGTTCTTCCAATCCGGGTGTTCTTCTCGACCGTCGGCCTCTAAGGGGCCGATGAGACGCCGGGCTCTGGGAGGCGAAGCCCTTACGGATGTTGATGTTTCGCGATGTTGCAGTTTTGCTCGCACCGTCGGATCTTACGGAATGCCCAGAATCCGACGGCGTTCTTCCAATCCGGGTGTTCTTCTCGACTGTCGGCCTCGGGGCCGATGAGACGCCGGGCTCTGGGAGGCGAAGCCCTTGCGGATATTGATGTTTCGCGATGTTGCAGTTTTGCTCGCACCGTACGGAACTCTTACGGAATGCCCAGAGCTCCGACGGCGTTCTTCCAATCCGGGTGTCCCTCTCGACTGTCGGCCTCTAAGGGGCCGATGAAACGCCGGGCTCTGGGAGGCGAAGCCCTTACGGATGTTGATGTTTCGCGATGTTGCAGTTTTGCTCGCACCGTCGGATCTTACGGAATGCCCAGAGCTCCGACAGCGTTCTTCCAATCCGGGTGTTCTTCTCGACCGTCGGCCTCAAAGGGGCCGATGAGACGCCGGGCTCTGGGAGGCGAAACCCTTACGGATGTTGATGTTTCGCGATGTTGCAATTTTGCTCGCACCGTCGGATCTTGCGGAATGCCCAGAGCTCCGACAGTGTTCTTCCAACCCGGGCGTTCTTCTCGACTGTCGGCCTCTAAGGGGCCGATGAGACGCCGGGCTCTGGAAGGCGAAGCCCTTACGGATGTTGATGTTTCGCGATGTTGCAGTTTTGCTCGCACCGTCGGATCTTACGGAATGCCCAGAATTCCGACAGTGTTCTTCCAATCCGGGTGTTCTCCTCGACTGTCGGCCTCTAAGGGGCCGATGAGACGCCGGGCTCTGGGAGGCGAAGCCCTTACGGATGTTGATGTTTCGCGATGTTGCAGTTTTGCTCGCACCGTCGGATCTTACGGAATGCCCAGCGCTCCGACAGCGTTCTTCCAATCCGGGTGTTCTTCTCGACTGTCGGCCTCTAAGGGGCCGATGAGACGCCGGGCTCTGGAAGGCGAAGCCCTTACGGATGTTGATGTTTCGCGATGTTGCAGTTTTGCTCGCACCGTCGGATCTTACGGAATGCCCAGAGCTCCGACAGTGTTCTTCCAATCCGGGTGTTCTTCTCGACTGTCGGCCTCTAAGGGGCCGATGAGACGCCGGGCTCTGGGAGGCGAAACCCTTACGGATGTTGATGTTTCGCGATGTTGCAGTTTTGCTCGCACCGTCGGAATCTCACGGACTGCACGGCGCTCCGACGGCGTTTTCCAATCCGGGTGGTTTCCGACTGTCGGCCTCGCAGGGGGCCCGATGAGACGCCGGGTCTGAGGATGCGAAGCCCTACGGATGTTGATGTTTCGCGATGTTTGCAGTTTTGCTCGCACCGTCGGATCTACGGAAGCCCAGAGCTCCGACAGCGTTCTCAAACGGGCGTTCTTCTCGACTGTCGGCCTCTAAGGCCGATGAGGACGACGGCTCTGGAGGCGAAGCCCTTACGGATGTGATGTTTCGCGATGTTGCAGTTTGCTCGCACCGTCGGATCTTACGGTATGCCCAGAGCTCTCAGACAGGGTTCTTCCAATCGGGTGTTTCTTCTCGACTGTCGGCCTCTAAGGGGCCGATGAGACGCCGGGCTCTGGGAGGCGAAGCCCTTACGGATGTTGATGTTTCGCGATGTTGCAGTTTTGCTCGCACCGTCGGATCTTACGGAATGCCCAGAGCTCCGACAGCGTTCTTCCAATCCGGGTGTTCTTCTCGACTGTCGGCCTCTAAGGGGCCGATGAGACGCCGGGCTCTGGGAGGCGAAGCCCTTACGGATGTTGATGTTTCGCGATGTTGCAGTTTTGCTCGCACCGTCGGATCTTACGGAATGCCCAGAGCTCCGACAGCGTTCTTCCAATCCGGGTGTTCTTCTCGACTGTCGGCCTCTAAGGGGCCGATGAGACGCCGGGCTCTGGGAGGCGAAGCCCTTACGGATGTTGATGTTTCGCGATGTTGCAGTTTTGCTCGCACCGTCGGATCTTACGGAATGCCCAGAGCTCCGACAGCGTTCTTCCAATCCGGGCGTTCTTCTCGACTGTCGGCCTCTAAGGGGCCGATGAGACGCCGGGCTCTGGGAGGCGAAGCCCTTACGGATGTTGATGTTTCGCGATGTTGCAGTTTTGCTCGAACCGTCGGATCTTACGGAGTGCCCAGAGCTCCGACAGTGTTCTTCCAATCCGGGTGTTCTTCTCGACTGTCGGCCTCTAAGGGGCCGATGAGACGCCGGGCTCTGGGAGGCGAAGCCCTTACGGATGTTGATGTTTCGCGATGTTGCAGTTTTGCTCGCACCGTCGGATCTTGCGAAATGCCCAGAGCTCCGACAGTGTTCTTCCAATCCGGGTGTTCTTCTCGACCGTCGGCCTCTAAGGGGCCGATGAGACGCCGGGCTCTGGGAGGCGAAGCCCTTACGGATGTTGATGTTTCGCGATGTTGCAGTTTTGCTCGCACCGTCGGATCTTGCGAATGCCCAGAGCTCCGACAGTGTTCTTCCAATCCGGGTGTTCTTCTCGACCGTCGGCCTCTAAGGGGCCGATGAGACGCCGGGCTCTGGGAGGCGAAGCCCTTACGGATGTTGATGTTTCGCGATGTTGCAGTTTTGCTCGCACCGTCGGATCTCGCGGAATGCCCAGAGCTCCGACGGCGTTCTTCCAATCCGGGTGTTCTTCTCGACTGTCGGCCTCTAAGGGGCCGATGAGACGCCGGGCTTTGGGAGGCGAAGCCCTTACGGATGTTGATGTTTCGCGATGTTGCAGTTTTGCTCGCACCGTCGGATCTCACGGAATGCCCAGAGCTCCGACAGTGTTCTTCCAATCCGGGTGTTCTTCTCGACTGTCGGCCTCTAAGGGGCCGATGAGACGCCGGGCTCTGGGAGGCGAAGCCCTTGCGGATGTTGATGTTCGCGATGTGCAGTTTTGCTCGCACCGTCGGATCTTGCGGAATGCCCGAGCTCCGACGGCGTTCTTCCAATCCGGGTGTTCTTCTCGACTGTCGGCCTCTAAGGGGCCGATGAGACGCCGGGCTCTGGGAGGCGAAGCCCTTGCGGATGTTGATGTTTCGCGATGTTGCAGTTTTGCTCGCACCGTCGGATCTTGCGGAATGCCCAGAGCTCCGACGGCGTTCTTCCAATCCGGGTGTTCTTCTCGACTGTCGGCCTCTAAGGGGCCGATGAGACGCTGGGCTCTGGGAGGCGAAGCCCTTGCGGATGTTGATGTTTCGCGATGTTGCAGTTTTGCTCGCACCGTCGGATCTTGCGGAATGCCCAGAGCTCCGACAGTGTTCTTCCAATCCGGGTGTTCTTCTCGACTGTCGGCCTCTAAGGGGCCGATGAGACGCCGGCTCTGGGAGGCGAAGCCTCGCGATGTTGCAGTTTGCTCGCACCGTCGGATCTGCGGAATGCCCAGAGCTCCGACAGTTCTTCCAATCCGGGTGCCTGTCGGCCTCTAAGGGGCCGATGAGACCGGGCTCTGGGAGGCGAAGCCCTTACGGATGTTGATGTTTCGCGATGTTGCAGTTTTGCTCGCACCGTCGGATCTTACGGAATGCCCAGAGCTCCGACAGCGTTCTTCCAATCCGGGTGTTCTTGTCGAC